TCGGAGGGGGTGGTTGAGATCCTTCTCCATGAAAATGGGACTTTCAGGGATTCTAAGGATAGTCCACATTTCATTCTGAGACTCCCCTACAACCCGTGGAGAGAATGAGTCTCTAGACCAGCAGTTGTCAACCTGTGGGTCGCGACCCCTTTGGGGGTCGAACAACCCTTTCACAGGAGTCGCCTAAGACCATCGGAGAACACATCTTTCCGATGCCATCTCCAGGCGGTCCGCCCACATGCAGACACGCTCACATACAAGTACCCAGGGTGAATGAAGACTGTTACCCAGGCTACACCGTACTTCGAGACAAAATTTCATTTATTTGTCATTAGAAATAAATGTTCCACATTATATAATTACATAGTGTTTTTGTGATGAATCATTCTGTTCAATTTGTAACAATGAAAATATATCCTGCACATCAGATATTTACAATACGACTCATAACAATAGCAAAATGACAGTGATGAAGTAGCGGTGAACATAATTTTATGGTAGGGGGTCACCGCAACATGAGGAACTGTATGACAGGGTCACGGCATGAAGAAGGTTGAGAACCACTGTTTTAGGGGAGAACAAACAAGCTGTTTGAACTTGTGCTGAGTTCTGGGCCCCACAATTGACCAGAATATGGCATTTTGTGGAGTTTTAGGTAAGCAAACAAAGCCTGAACTAGCACGTGACACTCACAGGGGCCACATATGGACTGTGGCATGGACAGCAGGTTCTAATTCCAAGATTTTTATAAATCTGAAGGATCTGGGGTGGGGAGTGGGGGAAACCTAGAGGACATGGTTGTGTTGTCTTAATGTTCTCCATCTGACCCCTCTAGGAGCTAATACCCAGTACAAGGACTACACAGAACCCACAGACAAAATTCGTGATTAAAAGTTTGCTAAGGGAGTGAACAAGTTGTAGTGCCGTGAGAAATGCCAGGGTGGAGTCGTTTATCAGGACATGTTACAAAGTTCTTTCAGGTCTTCTAATGAATGCCCAAAGGGACAAACCCCTCCACTGTAAGCCTCAACCTGAAGGCATTCAGCTCAACTCTGTGGGTCAGCCAAGCCGGCTACCTGCATTAAAGTACCCGGAGGGAACCCACTCCGCAAGCTGGTCTCCTGCACAGAAGCCTCAGCGTGACTGCTCTGTAGGGAAGCCCACTACTCTGCTCCACGCTCGGGCTCCTGGCTCGGCTGCTGTTCCTCTCATGTTATCGCTACCGTGTGGTGCCAGGAGTTTCACTGCACAGGGATCTCGGGTCCGGAGTGTTCTGGCTCTTGTTGGTAATCCTGTGCTTCCAAGAGGGCTCATTTTATACATAGCAGGATGATAGCCCTGGGAATCCCGTTCACCCTCCAGGTCAATGCTATCAGTATCTTACACCACCTTCTTGCCTGATCCATGCAGGGGAAGTCATTTGATGGGAGTAAGAGACTGTGGTTAGAAAAGCTACATCAGTTCGCTGACCCTGCAATGGTAACCAAGCAAGTCTCATAATGGGAGTAGCTGGCCCCTCCAAGCAGATTCAATAGGACTGGTTTTACCCTCTAGGCACTCCGGTGGTGGTGTGGCATAAGCATTGGACTGTTAACTGTGAACTGCCATTGTGTACCACAGTGGCAGTTCAAACCCCCCAGCCACTCCTCAGGAGGCACATGAGGCTATCTGTCCCCCTCAAGATTGAACCGTTTCAGAAATGCTACACAAGTTCTCTGTGAGTTGCAATGGACTGAATGGCATTGGTTTTGTTGTTGCTATTGTTTTAGCCTAATAAGAAAGGAAAGAGGAAACGTAACCAGTGCCAATTAACCAGTTTAATTCACGTAAGACAACGTTTTCAAAACTATGACAGGAACCATGGCAAAGAGGTTATTAAAATAAGAAGTTAAATAAATGCACTAAATAAAAATGTAAATATATTGACCACAAAACAGAAGGGCAAAAATT